ATTGATTTTTATTCTAAGATTCAGATGCTTTTTCAGAAGCAGTAATGATAGGCAGGGCCAAATTACTCTTTCTTCTAAATCCTACACTAATGTCAGCTTCAAATGAATATGCAGTGAAGACCTCTGGCATTAGGTTCTGGTAGTGTTTCTTCTTGTTCTTGAATAAGGAAAATCAACTGAAATACAAATATCTCAGAAGCTTCTAAAGTTACTCTTCTAACAACAGATGTCACATTCCATTCAACCAGTTAAAGAAATCTTATGATTAGGAAGGTTAATTCCTCATCATCAGAAATTCCATAGGAAGCATCATTCAACAGGCATTAGAAAAGATAATCTGTTAGATAGCTTTTCACAATCTAATTCCTTTTTTTTTTGAAGATTGCAAGATAAACCTACAAGGCATAGTAAACTCAAGTTGTATGAATTCTTGAATAACTGTGACCTCATATTTGAATTCAAAACAATCTTTTGAGAGTTTGTTTGGAAAGATTAGATGAAGTGTAACTGGACAAGCTTCATAATTGATTCCCACAAATATGAGCACAAGGATTCAAAGATAGTCTGAGCATTAGACGTATCAATGATGATGATATATTCATAATTGAGATAGAGCACCTACCAGAATGCATCTACCTCTGAAGATATTTTCAATAAGCTTCTTCTGAGCTGGTGACAAAGACTTTCAAACTTTGATCATCCTTACACCATCAACTTCTATAGTAATACCTTTTTCAAGAGTATTCTACAAACCTTCACAAAACCCTTTATAAAGTCAAATGAATTAAAAATATATTTGACTTTTCCATCATTTAAATTCAGCGAAATCATCATTTGAATATGGTAGAAAAAACAATGTAATATCTTTCATGTGACACTTGATTCCTTCTTGAAGGAAAGTCTTTAACAAATATACTTTTCTCATTAGATCATTATCTGCACCAGTGTTAAGTGTTATGTATAGACCATGTTCTAATACCAATTGATGGTGAGAAAAAGTACACAAGAAGGTGGGGTTGAATTGTTTTTTTTTTTTGTTTTCTAAATTTGCGTTTGACCAGAGTTTAGAATCCGAGACTGGTGTTCAGATTCTAGTTATACTTAGCAGTAGAATGTTAACAGAAGCAAATAAATAATAGCATAAGACACAAAAATTTATACTTGTTCCTTCCAAATGAGAGTAGTCCAGTCCCCTTGCTTCACAAGAGATTTTAACTATAATCAAATCATGATTACAATCACTTATGCGTTCTGCATAAGACTTTTATAATCCTCAAACCCTAAGTCCGAGACTTCTTGCTTAAACCCATAAGGCTCAAGACTTCCATGCTCAACTCCTATTGTTCAAACTGCAGTAAAGCGTCAAGAAGCAAAAAATTTAGATTTGGAAGGATCCCCTCCGGGATTTATATCGTCTCCACAAGGATCGGTGTGAGGGAAAAAACGTCGTTCAAAGGTCTCTACGTTTCTAAGCTTGTAGTTACAAAATGGTTGAAAGATTCAAGGTACAATAGATGAAAGCGAAAAATATAAAGACAAAAAATATAAAGTAAAGACTTTAAATATAAACAGAACCTTGTTTGGATTGGATCTCATCAATTGATAACACATGCATTCTTATAATTAGTTAAACACAAATCAATCATTCTTCTAATATCCTCACGTATTATCCACAATAGAGGTTATGTCTAACACAACATTAAGAGAACAACCACATTGTCACATTGGTAATGTATCACGCAACTCAACAATACAGAGCGTTAAGAACTGATACTTAAGCAAATATTAAGCCTAAATTTATGTCTAGAGTCTAGAACATAATAAATAATCATCCTAGATCCAGATCTGAAGAGTATATTTCTATAACAGTTCAAATCAAAGATAAATAGGTAATCAAAGATAACATCTATATCAGCTTCATGATTGATTCATATAAAACGGCATAATCAGAATACGTACATACACTTAATCCTTTTTACATGCATTCAACTAATTTGCCAAATGTAAGTGAACATAGTTTCCCATATCTATTATCACGCATCCTCACAATACCGTATTGATCACTACTCATGCTAATAATCAACACAATAAAATAAAAGATACTAGTGAATATCAACTTACAAGACTATGTCCAAAGTTTGCTCATTGATAGATGAATATCTAAGATCTAAGATTTGAAAAAAGGTTTTGTCAAGACCCGCACATAAGAAATCAAAGACAATATCAATATTGAATCAAAACTAGTTCACAATACATATATTAAGTGAAATACATAAGGTATTAAAAGATTACATTCAAACCCAAAAAGAAATCGAAGCTCTTAACTTCTCCCTCTTAGGGTTTGTGTTTCTCTCTCTAAAATATGGTTGAAATGAAGAGAGATAAAGTTATACTCTGCAAATATAATATATGTTCTAAAAAGTGAGAAAAGTACTTAAATAGTTATAACAAAATCTGTCATGTTTGCCTAGCGAACACCTTCTTCGCCCAGTGAAGACCACTTTTGGACACTTCAAGTTCCTCAGGAACAGTTAAATCGCCCTTGAAAAATATATGAGTTCGTAGTGCGAGCACATCTTTGCACAACGAACTGCTTCACTATAGATTCGCCCTTTTCCTACTGCCTAGTGCCTATAATCTGAGATGGTTCCTTGGGGATTTTCCAGGACATCGCACAACGAGGATTCGCTTTCAACTCACTGGAGTTCGCATAGTGAACTTGCTGATTCTTCTTCATTTCTTTGGCTTCTTTGTCCAATCATTTATGTCTTAATCATTGATGTTTTATGCCTATATCCTGCATGATAACACACACATCAAAGAATTCAAAAGTACTTGCAATATAATTGAAGAATCACACAAGAACAAGAAATAAATATATTAAAACACGAAAATTGAGTTGAAAAATATCATGAAAGATGGTTCAATTTAAGTCAAAACTTACACTTAACACCTATAAACTCAAGAATTCCTTGCTTAGACCCTCAACCTAAGACTTTCATGCACGGGTCCCTCAGACCCGATACTTTCTGTCAAGCCTCTTTGGCTCAAGACTTCCTGCTTAAACCCCTCAGGTTCAGAACTTCCTGCTTAGAGTGCAACCTAAGACTTTCCTGCTCAAGCCCCTCAGGCTCAAGACTTCTACTTAGACTCTCGATCCGAGACTTCCTTGCTTAGGTTCCACGAACCCCAAGACTTCTTCTCAATCAATCTACTTGATTAAGACTTTCAATGCTCTAGCACATATCAGGAGACTTACATGGCTCAAGCATCTTGAAGAGAGACTTGTTTTTCTCAATCAATCTACTTGATCAAGACTTTCATTGCTCTAGCACATAACAGGAGACTTACATGACTCAAGCATCTTGACAGGTTGATCCTTCTTAAAGATTCAGTTTGAACCTTTAACTACTTATATAGCATTTGCAAAAGACTAGCCGTTAGAGAGATAACTTGATCAAGTGTCTTTACTTTCTCCATAATACAAGAGACATTGAAGATAGATACACCAAAAGATCTTGATCCATTGTGTAACATGTTTAACCATTGAGTCTTCAAAGAGATCATGTACTATAGAACCGTTGAGAGTAGATATCCGTAAAGCATGTCAACTTTTCTTGAGCCTTGCGAACTAAGACTCTAGATGACAAACTGATTTGACAATGCAGCTTGCTTTCTGCAGTACATATAGCTTCAACTTTATCACTAACTCTGAATGATCACTAAAAGCCAATTTACATTCACTAAGTGTAGATACAATTATGTTGCTTCTTCTGATGCTGAGACCTTAAGCTTCAAAGTCTACGCTAGACATCACTTAGAGAGTGTTTTTCAGATTCTGCACCACCAGAAACTAGCAATTCAACTTTTCTCAAGTATGCCCTTGTATATTAGATTCTGAATATATATTTACAAGTATTAGAACTTGCATACATGAAACACACATCAAATATAACAATTGTTCTTTTAATACTTTGCTATCATCAAAACCTAAGAAATATATGTCATGAATAAATCTTGTTCTAACAGACTTTTTGAAGAAACAAAAGCAATTCTAAATGTGTAAAATTGATTCTATAGTGGTTTTGAAGTGTTTGGTCCTTCTAAAGTAGAATTGATTCTGCCTTCAGAATTAATTCTATTTGAAGTTAGAATTTATAGTTTCTGAGTTTAAACATGATTTTTACATTGAAATTTGTTGATCAACTCACTTTTTCCTAAATGTATCTGATGAGTGCGAAGAACACTTTTTTTAACAGTGTTTCTAACACTCACTCTTTTATTGGATGAAACATGTGTGAATCCTTCACTTTGAAAATGAGTCTCACATAAAATGGTAGAAGCCACTTGTATTTCACTCAATAAAAAAAATTAGTCTTTGAGAGAGTGTTAAAATTGTTGCTAGCATTGTTCATGTATCAAAACATAAACTAATTATGTTATACTCAATTCTATTAAAATCAATTCTATCCAACTCAATTATGTCAAAATCAATTATGATGATTGCCTATACAAACACACACTTAATATCTCTTTGCGCTTAGATATAGCAACCAACACTAAATAAAATTGATTTACAAAATAGTTTTAAAAAAGAGATTAATTGTTGTGTAATAAATTACAACCATTGATTTGTATTACTTTTAAATGGTTAAAATAAAAATCAAACTTATTAAATAAAGAATGATTAATTGATAATCTTTACACTGCCACTTTTAAAAAATTAATAATGAAAACTCATTCAAACTAGTTTTAAAACTCATTCAAACAAACTCTTTTTTATTGTTTAATTTATATAAAAAGTAGGGAAAATGAAACTTTCGGTAAGACTTGAAATCAAGAATTTAGCAAACCCTCTCTCGTTCTCTTTTCTTTGTTTTTGCTACGATTCCAAATTCTCAAGCTAGTTTGTAGCAAAATCCTTTATATTATTCTTTCTTTCCGCAACAAAACCCGTGAATATTTTAACATTCTAGTCTTTCATCGATCAATCAATCAAAATGGACCCAACCGACCAAAATACTCAAGAACAAGAACAACCATCTTGTTCTTCTGCTCTTAGCAAAAGATTGCTTGAACTGGAAGATGATACTGATGCATATTACTCCGGTCTTTTGCCTCCAGAAGCTTATCAAACTTCCAAACGCATCAAAGTGTACGATTTTCTAGCCACTTTCGATAAACCAAAAGGCGAAACCATTGTTATCTCTGACAGTGAAAGTGATGATGATGATAGAAGTAATGCGGCTGATAAAATGGATGATGATGATGATAGAAGTAATGCCACGCCGACTCTCACATTACTTCCTAGAAACCAGCACGATGTCGTGAGCAATGCGGCTGATAAAATGGATGATGATGATGATGTGGAAGATGAAGTTGATGAAGTTGATGATGATTCTCCAACTCCATTCTCTGAAGCAATCAAAGCTATTCAAGAACGCGCCGAGAGAAACGAGAAAAGAGGGATTGTTGAAGAACCTCCTGTATGGATTCCAAAAAGGAATGAAAAAGATTCGGTTAGGAGAAGGTCCTATATTTCGTCATTGCAAGAACTGTCTCTTAACATTCTTGCTCAGCATTCCGATGCAATTGCTTCGCTCGACTGTGTCAACGACGAGTTCAGACAAAGGCTAAGTAATCTGCTGTGTGATTCAAGAAAAATGAACTGTCACTTTCTTGAACTACTTCTTAAGGGTGTTCCCACTCAAATTCTGCTTACAGACTGTTCCTGGTTGACAGAAAAAGAATTTACTAATTATTTTCAAACACACGTCACTTCCGAATTAGAGGTATTTTCGTTAATTTTGCTACAATTCAACATGTTTCTTTCCTATTCGAATTCGTGTTTATACCTATATTTGTCAAATAGGTGCTGCAACTTGACAAGTGTGGAAGAATTATGAATGAATACACATTACCTGCTACATTGGCAAAGTCACCAAACTCCTTGTCTAAATTAACTATTCTATCGCTCACAGGTGCATGTCATCTTAAGGATGAAGGATTGCGGTTACTAGTTTCGTCTGCAACAGAACTTAGATCTATAAACCTAAGCCAATGTTCCCTTCTCACTTGTGCTAGTCTTGACATTTTGGCTGGTTCATTAGGATCGATTTTGAAAGAGTTGTATATTGATGATTGCATATTCATTGATGTTGCACGGATTTTACCAGCCTTGAAGCGATTCAAGCAATTACAAGTGTTGTCACTTGCTGGTGTTCCAACTGTTTCTGATAAATTTATTAAGAGCTACTTCATCGCGCGCGGTCATAACATTAAGGATCTTGTTTTAAAGGACTGTGTGTAAGTACATTTTATTAGTCAGATTCGTTATTCTTTCGCATATTGCTAAAATTACGGATTAAATTTCTTATTGTGCAGAAATTTGACGGATGCGTCAATGCGAGTCATTGCCAAACATTGTCCTGGTTTGCGCGTGCTTGATATTATGAACTTGGGAAAATTGACAGACTTATCTATTGGTTATCTTGCGAATAGTTGTTGCAGATTGAGTACATTGAAGCTCTGTCGCAATCCATTCAGGTGTAATTTATGTACTTTTTGATGCACTGTTTTTGCTATCCTAAACTTCTATTGCTTAATAATAATTTAACGTTTTTTCCAGCGATGAAGCAATTTCAGTATTTTTGGAGTTAGCTGGCAAAACCTTGGAAGAACTTTCACTTAATAGCATTGTAAAGGTAATGTATTACACAGTTTTTTGCCTAATATCTCTTTCTGCTAAGTTAAATTTTTTTGAGTGTCTGACATTTTGGTTTAATCCAGGTTGACCTATTGACAGCCACATCACTTGCAAAGAATGGCCAAAATTTGCATACCTTGGACTTATCATGGTGTCAAAATCTGTCTGACAATGAGCTCGGTTTAATTGTCGATAGCTGCTTGTCACTGAGGTCACTTAAGCTTTTCGGATGCTCGCAGGTATATAACTCTCTCAAAGGTGTTTTTAGTGATCAATTCGACGTAGTCTTTAGACGAAGAAATAAGCTGATTTGTTAGGGGAAGATTTTGAATGTTATGTACTTTTCTTTTGCAGTTAACAGATATGTTTTTCAAAGGACACTCAAACTCAGGGACTCGGATCATTGGGTTGAAGTTGAGTCCTTTATTTCAGCAATTCGAATCGGTCTCGCTGTAAACTTTGATATAAATTAGAACTAGAAACAGAAATTAAATACGAAAAGGTGATATTTGGCATAGCTGTTTTCTGAAGTGATATGAAATTTACTCTATTGTCCGTTTTCGACTTTTATTTCAGTGTTAACTGGAGAAGATGACCTTTTTCCATTTTGGAAACATTTAGACAAATACTTTAGCAGATTTATACAGTTGCTTGTTCTTCAAGAAAGAAAACAAATTTCTACTATGGTATATATATACACAAGTGAAACGTATTGCATTCAACCACATAAGTTCTTGTTTTCCGAACTGAAATGGATGGAATAATCAAAAACTATGATGTCAGTATATATTCAATGGGTTTGTTGTTGGAAAACAATAACGGCTTTTGGGTTTCTTTTTGTTAACAATAACTTCACTATTCTTAAGTTTGTTAGGTTAGTTATATTTTATTTTTACTATTTGTTTAAGTCACGTTATGAAATTTAACTTTAAGATAAGTCCAACAAGAGTGAGTATTTGTTCTAAAATAATATTTGCAATAATGTTTTTTTTTTGTTGCATTTTTTTTTACCTTTTTATACATTTCATTTTATTTTTTATTAAATTAGTTTTATATTTTAATTTAGTAATAAATAAATATGTTTGTTCATTTGTATACTTCTAAAGAGATTTACCCAAGTTAGTGATGGAGATATAATTAACAATTGAATATCTTAATTTGAGTATGTATGTGAGTAGTTTACACTACTAAGAAAAACATATACAACAATGGTTAGAAAATGGATAACATCACGCGTGACCCGCCGTTGTTACGTAGGATATGATTGTATATGCACAACTTACAATCACGATCTTACGACCGTTGTAGAAAACATGAAGGCGCGCTATATATGATCGCTGTTTTTTTAACTAACCGTGGTGGTATATATCTTTAGACAAATAACATTTTATAACGGTTATTATAAATAACCGTTGTTGAAAGTATCCAGGATTTGTTATATAATATGTAGATTGATTGATTTTCAATAAATCTCACAACAACATACATCTATTCAAATTGATGGAGAAGTATATAATCTAAAAATTAAACTATTCTTGAAAACCAACTTACACAAACCATTCTTTTCCATATTGCATGTGTCTCATCATTCATTTCTCACTCTTTAACATATAGAATGTGGTTCAATATTCTAAGTCCTTCATCACACAATTCCTTCTATTCTAGTTTAATTTGAATAATATCAATAGATTTTTGTTATTCAAATTAAACTATAAGAGAAGATATGAATGTGTTGAAGGAATTAGGTCATTGAACCACATTCTATATGTTAAAGAGCGGGAGATGAATGATGAGACAGAGGCAATTCAGAAAAAATTGATGGATATAAGTTGGTTTTCAAATACAACTTAATTTTCAGATTATAAGTTTATATGTCAATTTAAATGAAATGTATTTTCAGTGAAGAGTTAGTGAAACAAACAATCTACATAGCATATAATAAACCCAACTTCATACAACATCATACAACAACACAAGATATTATGTAATATTTTGAGAATTTTATAAAGAACAAAACATTAATCAATAACAACATACAACAACATTTATCAACAACACAAAAACATACAACAAAATAAGGTTCAAAGAGAATAATAACAACATACAACAACAACAACATACAACAACATAAGATATTATGTAATGTTTAAAGAGTACACATTTTTTAAGTTCTTAAAACATTAATCAACAATAACAACAACATACAACACCATTTATCAACAACACAACAACATACAACAAAATAAGGTTCAAGGACAACAATAGCAACATACAACAACATAAGATATTATATAATATTTAAGTAACACACATTTTTTAAAACTAATCGTGGATTTGGAATAAATTATGATTTTCATCTAATTTATGAAACTATGAAGAATAAGTACAAGGTGAATGAAGTTAACACAATAGCTTCATACTTCTTGTATTTTTCTTCATAGCAACACAAACCATATGTATCATAACTAAAGTATACGTTTTATTAAGGTGGCGAAGACGAATCTGAAAAAATGAAAACATTCACAAAATAAAAAAAATGAAAAACCATTTTTAACAAGAAATATAAATGAAATCGAAGCATAAGTTTAACGAACGAACCTGAAATATGATTAAAGAGTATCATAACGATTGGTGAAGACGAATCTGAAGGTTTAAGAAAGTTTAAAGAGTGACATGGATGTTAGAGTTATGTTATGAGAGAGAAGAGTGAAATATGTTAGGATTTTCATTTGAGAGAAACAATTATTATGTACTGAACGATAGATATTTTCGCTTATATAGTAAAAAATATCACTTTTTATCACGGTTAGAAAGAAAAACTGTGATATAATATATCGCTTTTCATCACGATTAGAAAGAAAAACTGTGATATAATTTTAAATTTTTACAACATTTCTTGAGTAAAATCGTGGTTAAATCTCTTACAATTTTATTTATTTATTTATGAACCAAATTGTTAGAGATATATTAATTATTGTTATAGTTATTTTTCATTACTGTTGCATTGTTGTTTTTATTTTTGTCGGCTTAAACTATTTTTTTGGTAAAACGATAATATATAGTCATATAAATGAAAGAGTATATATAACAATAATAAATATTTTCATTAAGAGGGCGGAGTACATAAATTATTTCATTACATATTGTCAACGTCGGAATAATAACCCCTAGCAGCAAATGAATCTTTATAATCTATGAGTCTCTCCTCACTACCCTCGTCAGAAATATAGTAACAAATCTTCCTAGGCACCTTTTTCTTCTTCTTCAGCTTCTTTTTTTCTTCTTCTAGGCATTCCTAACCCTAAGTGTATCCCTGACAGCACTCGATCCAGATGGCTGGACCTCCCTAGTTGACTGCTGATCATGGTGTTGTACTATGGTGACTTCAGTTGAGATATTTCTGTTAGCAGATGGAGAACATGATATGTAGTTAAGAAGAATAGTTTTGAAGAAGTGGAAATTCATTACATGAAACCGTGAATTTATAGAAGAGGTTGAAGATGAAAATCTGATGATTTAATTCTTTGAAATGATTACTTCCAATGGTTGATATTCTTGAATGACATTGTGACCGTCTTGAAAACTGAAGAAAATTTTCAATCATCATTACAGTTGGGAATATCGTTTCTCTCTTTAGAGAAGTGAAAAGGTTGTACATATAATATTACAACAGTTAATTATTAAATTAGTGATTAAATAATCTTCAACTTTTTTTATTTGTTTATGAATTTAAGTGACAAATGCGTTTTGTAATAGCAAAAAATGAAAAAAATGTAGATGCCATAATTCGAACCATGTACCATTCACTCTATCACCACGGTTGTTTCTATCAACCGTAATAAAATAACTTTCAAAAAAATAAGGTGCATCCAGTTTCATATATTACAACGGTAGATAGAACGACCGTGGTAATATGATATTATCAAATGTGTATTTTGTAGTAGTGTCATAGTCAATAGAATAATCAACATTATTAGAAATGGTTTGTTCACTTGCAAACTTCTTAGGAGATGGGTCATTGGGTATTAGGGAGAGGAAGGGTTCCATTATTTCAAGTTTTTTAGGACGACTAGCCACATACTCACCATTCATAGAGACCTTTTGAATTTGATGATTCTCCTTAGAAGCATGATTAAATATTGTATAAATATCTTTAAACTATTCAAATGGAACTAATTCGACTCTTATCTTTATATTTTTATTTGAAGAGAAGAATGAGATTGTTACTTATGGGTTATAAGTTAGTGTTGCAGTAAATTTTGTTAAAGTTGAAGATGTGCATGCCGTAGTCGAATTATATTCTTGCATACATATGTCTTAATTAGCTTGTCGAAATATGTTTTGGTGCTTGAGTTAGCATGTTGGATTGGATCAGCCTATTGGACCAATTGCATAAGTTAGCTTAGTTATCTATAAATAAACTGTTTCTCTCAAGTTGTTGAGAGACAGATTGGTTGTTGTTATTTACTTGTAATCTTTGAACCCTAATTGAGTTTGTGAATAGTAAAACAGTTATAACCAACTCTGGTTCTTCTTCTTCATTCTTCTTTTTCTCTCTTTCGTAAAACCTAATAAAGTTTCTTGTGTTTGTTCAAGAAACTCAATATTTTTCTCATATTTTGATTTGTTCTTGATGACATCAATTCATAACAAACTGGTGTGGTGAGCGCGGTGAACAAGATGACGTCAACATATCTTACATTTAATATTCTAATTGACGAAAAGTCTACTTACATTTTTTTAGCGACTGCACGTGAGACATTTGAAGTGAACTCTTTAGTTGGTCTTATTCAAGTCCTCTTCGATTTCTCATGTAGTGATGACGAAGATGAGTTGCGATCATAACTCATGGAGTCATCAAATCCCATTTGTTATTTTTTATTTATTTATCAAAATTTCCTCAAGTTTCTTGTAACCCCCCACGAGACAATCTATAGAGGTACTATTTTTTTTCCTAAATTTAACTTTTTCCATTCATTTTTAATCTATTATAAACATAGTGAAAATTTTAATTTGCATGGTTGTATCTCTAAAGCATAAGCATAAAATTATCATAAGCTATGATTACTACTAACCAAAAAATCAACAGAACCACAAGACTTAACAAACTTCGCCCAAACCTTCTCGATAAAATTATATTTCATAGTTGGGTGCTCGTGATCAGGCTTAGGTTTCATAATGTAAACACGCGTGAGTTGTGGCTTAAAGCCCATCCAACATTCACCAACATAAGAGATCCAATTTTTCTTCAATTATCAACATCAGTAAACTCAAAAGTCAACTACAGTTTCATCAATAAATATGTATTAGCAATTATAAAAAAAATACTATCAAATAATATAAATTAAAATTAATATCTTAACGTTTGTCCATATGCTTTCTTTCGCATATTTTGATACTTAAGTCCAATCACTTATCAAAATATTCACTTTCCTACGTCCAAGGAAGGCAACATA